CGAACGATATATCATTATAAATTAGTAAACTTAAGCTTTTGAGACAATTGCTGATTTGTGCTAGTCGGGTACCTTATTAAAAAAGATGATTCTTTGCATACTTTCGTTATCCTCATTTAACTTAATTAATAAAATATAAAAACAATATTCAATATAAGTTTATCAACACACGTGCCTAAACTTACTAATTACATTCCAATTATTTCCTAATGATAAATTTTTATCGTATTGAAATAAATCAGTCGATTTCAGATAGTTCAAGAAATAACATGAATTTGGTGACTTTAGTCTTATTAAACTGATTGAGTTTGTACATCCATTAGCAACAAGAACACCAAGAAGATTTACAATTTTTGCTATTCGGAATTTTCTAGACTTTGAAAAACTTTATGGCAAGTTAAATTCCGATGCTTTTGATTATCGAGGAAATTTTATTTTGGCATTAATTAATGGAAAAATTGATAATATTCAGGAAATCTTTAAAAATCTATGGAAATTACAAATTTACAATGTAATCACAATTTTTGACGATGATCAAGGACATCTTCTAGTTATGACATCCTTTCCATTTCAATCAAGTACGGATTGCTCGAATACAACTCCAGTTATAATCAATGAATTCATCAATGGAAGCTTCACTCAAGAATTATCTTCAATTTTTCCAAATAAAATGTTAAATCTACAGCAATGTGAAATAAAAGTCAGCTCCTCTTATAACAAGCGACCATATTTTTACACAAAAAGAATAGTAAATGGAAGAAGAGAGCTTGCTGGACGTGATTTTGAGGTTTTAATGGCTTTATCACAAAGTTTGAATTTCAAAATTAATTACTCACTTCTTACTGAATTTGGATGTGCGTTTGCACACAATGAAAATGAAGGAACTCTAATGAATCTTCAAAATAATAAATCAGACTTTGTGATTGTTGATTGCTGGTTAAAACTTGATCGACTTAAACTGTTTGATGCTTCAAATTCGTACACTTTTGAGAAGATTGTTATGGTCTTTCCAATAGAAGCTGGATTGAGTTCATTTGAGAAGTTGTTCTTTCCATTGGCTATCGAAACTTGGTTGTTGTTGATGATCTATTTGAGCATTGGAGTTACTTTCATTTTTGTGATTCAATTTTTATCATCAACAATTCAAAATTTTATAATTGGTCAAGATGTGAGAAATCCATATTTAAACATGTTTATAGGAATTATAGGACAAAGTCAAGACAAAGTTCCAAAGAATAATTTTGCTAGATTTTTGCTAATGAACTTTCTGCTATTTACACTAGTCATTCGAACAGCTTATCAAGGAAAATTATTTGAAATCATGCAGCTAGATATTAAATATTCAGAACCAAAAACAATTTTAGAAATTATTGAAAGAGGTTACAAGCTTTATGTTCCTGATTTCTTGGTTGATTTAGTGCCAGATATTTCAAAATTCCAAATTGTGTAAGTTAATTTTGAAATTTATAATTTTACTTGTAAGAAAAATATTAATTTTTTAGGAATAAATGGAAATATCGTTTTGAGGTTTTAACTAAAGTCATGAACTCCAATAAAAAGGAAGCAACTCTTGAAATATATTCAGATATACTAACTCAATATAATTCCAAAAATTTTACAAAATTGCAAGTTTGTCGTGAAGTTTTCGTCACAATTCCGTCAGTGATTTACACAAAGAAGAACTTCTTTTTACTGCAAGCTTTCAATGAAAAAATTGAACATTTAAGAACAGCTGGTCTGATTGAATACTGGTACAATCTGCAATTTACAAAAGAGTTTTCAAAACAAGAATCAAATCCTCCTCAAACTCTCACACTTGACCATCTCAGTGGATGTTTTCAAATTTGGATGATTGGATGTCTTGTTTGCTTCTTAGTATTTATTTATGAATTGATCATCAACAAATGGAAGAATCGATTGAATTGTAGACTAATGTCAAATGATAGCAATCAATAAGTTCACACAATCATCAAAATTGCTACTTTTGGATTTATAAGAATAGATTTCATCAAAATTTCATAGACATTCTGTCCTCTCAGCCATAATTTTCCAACTAATCACTCACTTTCATAGCAAATATGTTTTGATACACGATCGAAAGTAAATAAAATATGCAGCAAGAATAACAATTAATCATACTCAGCTGTGATTTTCTTTTGATATTTTGTCGGCTCAGAATCAGTTTGGCATTTCAGTCTAATTCAGAATTTTCAAGATTAAACATGAATTGTGGACTATTTGCCTTGATTTTATTCTGTATAAATAGCTTAGTGTGCTCAGAGTTTGAGTTGAGATTGAGTAACTATGAGACTTTGTCAACAGGACTTAAAATCATATCGGAAAGAGTTCTTGTGAGGCACACAATAAATTTTAATATGGTTTTTGTTAGTCATGATCACGCAACGAATGACTTTCGGGATTCCTTCATGAAATTGTTTATGGAAAATGCAAAGTTTCGAGTTCGTCAACAGCTGATTGAGGATGTCAGAAAAAGTACGACTAAATCTTCAAGAAAATTTTCAATAATTACAATTCAAACTTTTGAAGACTTTAAGAAGATTAAAGCTAGATTAACAGCTGATAACTTTGACTTTCAAGGATATTTCATATTTCCATTAGTGACTGGATTAATTGATGAAATACAAGACGTATTCAATGAGTTATGGGATCTTCAAATCCTCAATGTAATTGTTATTTACAAAGAAAGTCATGGACATCTTCCAGTTTTGACTTTCTTCCCATTCCGATCAAGTTCTGACTGCTCAAATACAACTCCAGTTCTCATTAATGAATTCATCAATGGATCCTTCACTCAAGGCTTATCCAGTTTTTTTCCAAATAAAGTTAAGAATCTTCATCAATGTGAAATTCGTGTAGCTTCATCAGACAGCATGCCTCCTAATAATTTTGCACGACTCACTCTTGATGGACAGAAGAAAATGTTTGGACGTGATTTTGAAGTTGTTAATGCTTTATCAGAAAGTCTCAATTTCAAGCTACGCTACAGTCTTCTTTCACATTATGGATGTTTAATGAGCCATAATGGTCACGAAGGCGTACTTGGAAGTCTCTATAATAATAGATCCGATTTAGTGATTCTTGATTGTTGGTTGAAATTGAGTCGATTGGAAATATTTGATGCTTCAACGACATACTTTACTGAAAAAATTGTCATGGCATATCCAATGGAAAGTGAAGTGACTTCTTTTGAGAAATTATTCTCACCATTAGCATTGACTACTTGGATGCTCCTGATTGCTTATTTAACTATTGGAGTGGTCTCAATTTTCATCATCAGATTCTTGTCTCACAAAATACAAAATTTTGTGATCGGCGAAAAAGTCAATTATCCTTATTTAAACATGCTGATTGGAATTGTTGGACAAACTCAAAGTCGAACGCCTGCAAACAACTTTGCAAGATTTCTTCTCATGAATTTCTTGTTGTTCACATTAGTCATGAGAACAGCATATCAAGGAGAGATGTATGAAGTGATGCAGTCAGACATTAAATATTCTGAACCAAAGACAATTTATGAAATGTATAGGAGAGGATACAAGTTTCATGTTTTGGACTTTATATCTGATATTATTTATGATATTTCCAAATTTACGATTGTGTAAGTATAATTGGACTTGATACAGTTTTCTCTTATCTTAGTGATATTTTAAATCATTTAATTTAATTTTTCAGAGATGGATCTGGAGATCGTTTTGATCAAATCACCTGATTGACAAATTCTGGAGATAAAAATGCCATGGTTGAAATCATCTCCGATGTTCATTACCAATTTAATAACAAAAATCTTACAAATGTTCATATTTGTCGAGAACAAATCATGACAATGCCAGTTGTGATTTATATGAAGAAGAATTCATACTTAGTGAATGCAGTGAATGACAAAATTGGAACATTAAGAGCAGCTGGACTGATTGACTATTGGTACAAACTATCATTTACTGATAATTTCCACAAGAACCAAGTAAAACCCAGAAAAGTTTTAACATGGAATCATCTTTCTGGATGCTTTGAAATTTGGGGATGTGGATGTCTTTTAAGTTGTTTCGTATTGCTTGGTGAATTCATTGTTTTGAGATGGACGAAAAAGAGAAGTAGATGGAAGCATGCTGGATGGCAAAGACAGTCTATTTTCTCAATAAAAGCTTTCAATCTGATCAGGCGAAGAACAACCTCAAACAGCTTAAAACCACCTTCTAGCACCTCATAATTTACAGACAGTGTTGCAAATGTAGATGTCTACACTAGATGAAGAATGTAGATTCTTCAATAGTTTTTGTCTAGCTAAGAAACTTTCTTCATAAAGATCGATTCTACATGTAGAAAGAAAAAAACCATCTACATGTAGATTGTGTCTACATGTAGAATCTGTCTACATGTAGATTCGATGTAGATGTCTATAATTCTACATTTTTTCCAGGTCTACATCAGAGAAGAATGTAGAATCGTAGACATCTACATTAAATCTACATGTAGACAGATTCTACATGTAGACACAATCTACATGTAGATGGTTTTTTTCTTTCTACATGTAGAATCGATTTTATGAAGAAATTTCTGTCTCAGAATTTATCTGATCCAGACAAATAGCCAGAATGCAACACTGTTTACAGACATTACTAAATAAATGTTTTCAATTATAAAATTAATTCTGTTAATCATTATGAGTATCCATAAATGAATATTTAATACTTTAATCAACTTGAACTAATTAAATTAATAAAACTAATGCTCAAAAATTATCAATTAGAATCAATTAATAAAACTACTGTGCAGCTATCAATACATTTATACTATCAAAACTAATCAGTCATAGTTTGGTGATTAATATGAATTACAAGACTTTGCTTCTCCTGTTTGTTAATATAGCCATAATTCAATGCTCATCAATAATAAAAAACCAAAAAGATTACAAGACATTAGCATATGGAGTTACAATGATATCCGAAAAACTGATTCCAAAAATAGCAATTAGTTTTAACATGATTTCAATGCCCAACGACCATCAATCAAATGACTTTCGAGATACTTTTATAAAAATTTTCATGGAAGATCTAAAACTTAAAGTACGACAGCAACATATCTATCAAGTTGAAATGCTCAGCTCGAAGAATCCAAGAAGGTCTGCTTTTGTCATTATTCGGAGCTACTCTGACTTTAGAGCCTTTTTCAATAAATTGGTTCCAACGAATTTCTTTTATAATGGATATTTTATGATAGCTTTGATAAGTGACACATTTTTGGAGATACAGGACATTTTTAGTGATTTGTGGAAATTACAAATTTACAATGTAATTGTGATTGTTGAAGATGGTCATGAACGTCTTTCAATCTTCACATTCTTCCCATTTAGATCAAGCGCAGACTGTATGAATACAACTCCAGTTCTCATCAATGAATTCATCAATGGAAGCTTCACTCGAGGATTGTCAAACATTTTTCCAAATAAAATGAAAAACTTGCAGCAATGTGAAGTTAAAGTAGCCACTTCTAATGATATTCCTCCTCACATGGTCTTAAGAGCAATGTCTGATGGGACTTTTAATATTTTTGGACGTGATTTTGAAATTATTGATGCTCTATCAAAAAGTTTAAATTTTAAAATCAATTTTAACTATATTGGACAATATGGATGTATTCTTGAGATTAGAGGAATAGAAGGAGCTTTGAAAAAAGTATATGAAAACAAGTCAGACTTAGTAATTGCTGATTGCTGGCTTAGAATAAATCGAATGGAAATGTTTGATACTTCAACAACATATTTCACAGACAAAATTGTTATGGCATTTCCACCAATACCAGAACTGACATCATTTGAGAAATTATTCTATCCACTATCTTTGACAATTTGGATACTGCTAGGACTTTATTTATGGGTTGGAATTTCCACAATATTTATCATTAAAAAGAAATCAAAAGTTGTTCAAAATTTTGTTATTGGCGAGAATGTAAATTATCCATACTTCAACATGCTGATAGGGATTCTAGGTTTACAACAGAATCGACTCCCTGGCAACAATTTCGCGAGATTCTTACTAATGAACTTCTTGATACTGTGCCTTGTTATGAGAACAGTTTACCAAGGCAAGTTGTTTCAAATTTTACAAGCAAATATGAAGCACTCAGAGCCTCAAACACTAGCAGAGATGCAACAACTTGGTTACAAATTTCATGCTGTAGAATTTTATGAAGAATTGATTTCAAGTTCTTTGAAAATGAATATTGTAAGCAATGGCAAGTATCGGTTTGAATCAACAATTAGATTGTTAAAAGAGAATGATAAAAATGGAATCCTAGAAGTGTATTCAGACCTTCTTTACCAATACAATATCAAAAATTTAACAAACATTCAAGTTTGTCGAGAACATTTTTTATTGATTCCGATTGTGATTTATGCAAAAAAGAACTTCTTTTTAATGCAAGCAATCAATGAGAAAATTGAGATCCTTAGAGCAGCTGGATTAATTGAGTATTGGTTCCTATTATCTCTTTCAAAAGAATTTGAAAACAAAATGCCAAACCATCCTAAAGTTCTAACTTTTGATCATCTTTCTGGATGCTTTTATATTTGGATATTTGGATGCTCACTGAGCATTTTGGCATTGGTTTTTGAATTAATGATTGAAAAGCTTAAAACGTGGATCAAACGAACCGAACTCTGAAAGATTTCGACTGACTTTTACATGTAAATTAAAAATGTATGAATGAAGAACTTTCGTGTGTTGAAATCAGACGCAATATTCAGATGACGTTGCCGTACTTACATATAATTAATAATCAAATGCTTCTAGATGATTCTCTATGACGTGAGAACTATTTATGACGTTTACTGTCTGCGCATACAACCCATATTTATAACCTAAATTCATTTGACTTTCTAAATTGACATTTTCAATCAAAATAAAGTAATCACAAATTAATTTACCTAAATTGATATTTTTTAAGTTACAAGAGGCGTAGTTGGAAGTTTGTCAGAATCAATGAGCTTTTTAATTAATATTTCCACTAATGTTCTAAAATCCTTAAATTCACTCATGCTTAATTATGACGTTAGTAAATTTGACGGTTTTATAATTGAGATATTTTAGGAAAATCAATTTTCATAATTATGAAAAAATATCTAACTTTGAATCATATAAAACCTGCTATTTTTTGTTAATCCTTACTACACCCGAGAATCTAGATAGAGTAGTCATGAATTTTAAAATTTTATTACTCTTGCTAGACTTTAAACAATTTTCTTGTACTTTAATTGATTCTAGTTTTAAAGACCAAACAACTTTATCGATTGGAATCAAATTGATTGCTGAAAACATTATTTCGGGCATTGCAATAACTTTTAATTCAATTTCAACATCTGATGACTATTTATCTAACGATTTTCTGGATACATTTATGAAAATAATCATGAATGATTTAAATTTAAAGTTTCGGCAACAATCGATTGAAAAAATTGGGAATTTTGAATTGGCAGTTCCACGTAAATCTGCATTTGTTGCCATTAGTAATTTTAATGATTTTAAAAAATTCTTTAAAGAAGTACATCCAGTCAACTTTTCTTATAATGTGCATTTGATAATTGCATTGATTGATGGAAAAATTCCAGAAATTCAAGAAATATTTGAAGATTTATGGAAAGTGAATCTACACAATGTGATTATTATCTTTGAGGATCAGCATGAGCAACTGACAGTTGTGTCATTCTTTCCATTTCAATCAAGTAAGGACTGTTCAAATACAACTCCAATTGTCATCAATAAATTCATCAATCGAACCTTTACTCATGACTTATTTAACATTTTCCCAAAGAAAATGGAAAATTTGCAACAATGTGAAATCAAGGTTGCAACTTCTAACAACATAGCACCTCACATATATACAAGAATAATGCCAGATGGATCGGAGATATTTTATGGACGAGATTTTGAGCTGATCAGCACTTTATCATCAAGTTTAAATTTTAAATTAAACTTTAGTTTTGTTTCATTCTTTGGGTGTCTTTTTGAACTAGAAAAGCAGGATGGAGTTTTAAGAAATATGCTTAATAATAAATCTGATCTAGTCATAGCTAACTGCTGGCTAAGACTTGAGAGGTTGAAAACATTTGATGTCTCAACAATATACTTTGCAGACATAACTGTGATGGCATATCCATTGCTAGCTGACATGAGTTCTTTTGAGAAATTGTTTTATCCATTGGATATCTATACTTGGATCTTGCTGATGGCATATTTAATAATTGGAATTATTTTAATATTAATAATTAAAAGACAATCAATGACTATTCAAAATTTTGTGTTTGGAAAGAATGTTCAGTATCCATATCTCAATATGATCATAGGATTGTTAGGAACAACTCAACATAAATTGCCAGGAACTAATTTTGCAAGATTCCTTCTTATGAATTTTCTTATTTTATCATTGATCATTCGAACGGGTTATCAAGGCAGACTTTATCAATTGATGCAGGCAAATATTAAAGGCTCTGAGCCACAAACTCTAATGGAAATGCGAGAACAAGGATATACGTTTCATTCAGCAGAAGTTCTTTCACTCTTGACTAGCGATTCTGATAAATTTAAAGTTATGTAAGTTTTAATATTTTATGGATGACTGCATCTTCTTTTATTAATCATTTCAACTTCTTCCAGTGACAACGGAAATTCTCGTTATGGACAAACTAGATGATTAATGAATTCTGGCGGTAAAAATGCCATCCTTGAAGTGAATTCTGAACTTCTCTACCAGCACAGCTTGAAAAACTTTACAAACTTTCAAATCTGTCGAGAATATTTCATGACAGCTCCAATTGTAATTTATACAAACAAAAATTTTTATTTATTGCAAGCGATTAATGATAAGATTGAGAAACTTATAGCTGCTGGGCTTATTGAATATTAGCATTCATTATCATATAAAAAGGAGCTATTAAGTCATCGACCAAAACCATCAAAAGTCCTTACATTTAATCATCTTTCTGGATCCTTTTATATTTGGATTTTTGGATGCTCAGTGGCCTGTTTGGCATTAGTTTTTGAGTTAATAACTTACAAGTTTAAATTGAGGATTAAACCAGTCTAATTTTAGAAGTTATTGACAAAGAATGATTATTAATTGTACTTCTGACTTTTTCACCGTAATTAAAAATGTATGAAAAATTTCCACGTGTTGAAGCCAGACACAATTCATATGAAGTTGCGTTACCATACGAGAATTATTAATCTAATGTTCTTGATAATTATCAGCACAAATAAAGTGTTTTAAATATATAATAATAAGCTATAGATTCTATTTGTATTGTATCCTATCCATGCAAACACCCTTAACATTAATAATGTTTTGAATATTTATTATTTATTGTTATGAATAATTTTGTGCCTGATTGATGGTTCGTGCTTTGTTTCGTTACGAAAATATTTAATTCATTTTCCAGGTACTGAATAAAGTGGTCATGAAATTCAAAGTTCTGTTCTTATTTTTTGTGAATATCAACAAAAATTATGGATCAGTGCCTAATGTGAAATTCAAGGATTACAAGACATTGACAAATGGGATTAAAGTTATTGCTGAAAAGGTAGTTCCTGATGTAGCAACAATCTTGAATATAGTGTCAATATCCAACAATCATGAATTCAACGATTTTAGGGATGATTTAATGAAACTTTTAATGAAAAGCCTTAAATTAAGGTTTCGGCAACAAAGTATGGAAAATATTAAACCAACAGGACTTCGAGGAGCCAGAAAATTTTCATTTATTCCTATTAGACATTTTGAAGACTTTAAGATCTTTTACAGCAAGTTAAACTCAGCACTTTTTTATTTTAATGGATATTACATCTTTACGTTAATCAATGGAGCATTTTCAAATATTCAAAACATTTTCGATGACTTATGGGAACTGCAAATTTACAATGTTATAATAATTTACCAAGAAAGTCAGCAAACTCTTTCAATTGTGACATTCTTGCCATTTCGATCAAGCACAGATTGCTCAAATACTTCACCAGTTGTCATCAACAAGTTCATTAATGGAAGCTTCACCCATGATGTCTCGAAAACTTTCAATTATAAAATGGACAATCTAAATCAATGCGAAATAAGAGTTGCAACATCTGATGACAAGCCTCCTTATATCTACAAAAAGACAAGGCCCGATGGAACAAATAAATTTTTTGGACGTGATTATAAACTTATTAAGACTTTAGCCGATAGTTTGAATTTCAAAGCGACTTTAAACATCATGAAGACCCATGCATGCGTTTATGAGATCAGAGGAGTCGATGGAGGGTTGAAAAGTATTTCACAAAATAAATCAGACCTTGCGCTTGAAGATTGCTGGCTAAGACTAAGTAAATTAAATGAATATGCATCTTCAACTTCTTATGGAGCTGATACTTTTATCATGTCATTTCCATTAAATCATGAGTTGACTCCATTAGAAAAGCTATTCTTTCCATTAGCTATATCCACTTGGATGCTGCTGTTGTCATACATACTGTTTGGATATCTTTCAATATTCATCATTAAGAGACAATCCAAAGAGACTCAAAAGTTTTTCTTTGGTAAAAATGTGAATTATCCGTACTTTAATATGTTGATAGCTTTATTAGGATTGTCACAGAATCGACTGCCAATGGGCAACTTTGCTAGGTTCTTGCTCATGAACTTCTTGATATTATGTTTAATCATCAGAACAGCTTATCAAGGAAAATTATTTGAAGTTATGAAAACAAGTGTGAAGCATTCAGAACCAAAGACAATTGCTGAAATGCTCGAAGATGGATTTACATTTTATGCAGTCGAAACTCATACAGAGTTTGTTAAAGATTCTGGAAAATTTACTATCATGTAAGTAGCTTTAAGAAATTTGAATCTTATCCTTTAAACTTCCAATATTCCAACAGTGACAATGGTAAGACTCGCTTCGATCATACAACACGAATATTCAACTCTGGAGGCAAAAATGCACTATTTGAAGTCCATTCAGATCTTCTTTATCAATACAACATCAGAAATATTACAAATTTCCAAATTTGTCGAGAAGCTTTTATGACAGTTCCAATTGTTATCTATGCAAAGAAGCATTTTTATTTGATCCAAGCATTGAATGAGAAAATTGAGAGTCTAAAAGTTGCAGGTCTAATTGAGTATTGGTATTCATCTCAGTTTTTGAAGGAATTGACAAAAGAACAAAAGTCTCCAGAAGTTCTTACAATGCGTCATCTTTCTGGATGCTTTCAAATTTGGGTTGCTGGATGTCTTATTAGTTCTGTAGTATTAGGAGTTGAATATATTGTTTGTAAGTGGAAAAGGAGGTCCGGTTTTATAAGTTAATAATAATCAAAATTAAAGACGTTTCAGCATAAAGCCTTTACAATTTTTATCCAAACAAACGCCCTTGTGCACCTCATTGTTATTTAATTGCCTCACTTAATAATTTGTAAATACTTGTTAAAAAAGAAACCATTTTCGTAATTGGATTTTAGTTTATGCAGCAAGTCCAATAAACATGTCGTTAGTTACTTCTAAGCATTGAATAAAGTCGCAATGAAAATAAAGTTACTCATATTCTTTTTGATGTACTTTAAGGAAGTTTTCAGTGCCTTAACTAGTGCTAATATCAAGGAATACAAAACATTGTCAAAAGGAAATAAAGCGATTG